GTATACGCAGTATGTGAGTGCAGCTGCCTGCACGCAAACCAATTCATTTGCCGTTTAACTGCAGCATTTTTTTTTTTTTTTTTTTTTTTGCATTGTTTTTGTCGCCGCCTGGCGCCATTTTGTTTGCAGTTTTAACCCTTCAACCGTTTTGTGGTTTGGACCTATATTTGATGGGGCTTTTTGCGTCATTTAAATATGAAATATTGAATGCACATATGCGAACCATTAGATGATTAATAAAAATACGTATCAATATATATAAAACAAGGAATAATGGAAATAATAAATGTATATATTTTTGCTCATATCGATCAAAAGAATGAAAATTTATAGATTTTTTCAATTTGACTAGAATCTGTTTCGAAGCTCAATGAAAACCCTCAAAATAAAATTAATATAAATAATTAAACTAAAGCTAGAGCAACTAATTTTATATAAGACTAAATTTATATAGATTCGATTCGCTTACAATTATTATAGCCACGATTTATTAAAAAGTATTCACGAATTTATCGAAAATAAATATTAAATTTTTGTTTTCGCATAATATAAATATTATGACAAGTGCTGTAAATTTTTAACTGTAACCAAATGACAAGAACTGCATTATTCATGAGTTAAAAGTAAAGTCAATAATGAAGAGGAAAACTCAAAAATAAATGCAACTTAATTGGAATGTAAAGGAACTCTGCATGCAAATAACTGAATGCAATGCCTGAGCAGCTCAAAGATTTCAATTCAATTTGCAAATGCAGGAAATCCGACAACCACAAAAAAAAAAAAAAAAAAAAACAAACAACAACAGCTACAGAAAAAGGCCAAAAGACATTTCTGCCAGACGACAAATCGACTTTTGTGATGAGAAATATGCACATAGAGAGAGAGAGCGCGCGAGAGAGAGAGAGAGAGAGAGAGAGAGTGGGAAAGCGACTGCCTCGAGAAGTGGCAGTGTGAAAAATTATGCGCTCGAAATAGATTTTCCAGCGACACTTCAAAATAGGAAAAATGAATGAGAAATACAAAAAATAGAAAAAACGAGAAGCAGACTTGTCTTGCATGGAGTTTCCACTTGAGTCCGTCCAGAGCCAATGCGTCCGTGCTGTCGCGTCTGCAGTTAATAAATTTTTTTGCCACGTCCTTTGCTGGCGGCACAAGTGTGGACAAATCCACAGCTGAAATTCAAGAAAAAATTCTTCTCGAGCTGATCATAACTCGTTGCATGCATTTTTCACACTCTGCCATAAGCGACGGCTGTGTGGAAAGCAACAAGCTGCAAATACTTTCCACACACTCAGCGATTCGCCATTTAATATCAAATTCATTCAGAGTTCGCCGAGATTCAGTTGTTGGCCTGCCAAAGACATTGGCATATTCGTCTTTATCTGCAATACTTATGGTCCAAATATATATATGTATGTATGTATATATTAGTGGCTGGTGAGTGAGCAAGTGATATGGCTGTGAAGGCCTTTGCTTTATGCCGGTCATCAGGTGAACAGGTGCCATGCGCCAGACACATTCGAGTGTGGTCCGTGTGCTTCATTTCTGTTGTCAGTTTATGAAATGACGAAATTCAGAATATTTCGCTGTCGTAAAACTTGTTTCGATTACAAACCTTAGCCCAATATTCTGACTTCAAACTAATCGAATATCAAACGAGTTTTCAAATGAGAATCGAATGACTTGTCAATGGATTTCGGGTAGATGCGAGTTGATAAAGCATCTCAATGAAGAGACATGGGACATGAGACATGGGAAGACATATAAATCTACGTAAAATATATATACATAGATGATAGACTATATACGCATTCTACTCAATTCACTTTGAGCCCCAAGCATCGCTGCTTCAAGGTCATGCCAGCCTGTTTATACACATAAATGTATCCAATAAATCCTTCAGTGCCCCATTATGATGCACAACCCGTCCGTGAATCATAAGCTCCAAAAATATGGAGAGCTGAAAAAGGCGCGCACACAAAAATGCGTGTAAAAAGCCATAAAAATCGAATAAAGCAAACGAAATGCGGGAAACATAAAGTGGAGCGTCAAACGAGCCATTCAAATGCATTTATAAATGTATCAATACAAAGCAAAACAAAAACAAAAACAACAAATTTGTGGCAATAAACCAGGCGAATCGCAAAGCTCATTGAAATGTTACGAGTGCAACAACACTCAAGAGCCCCACTCAATTGGCCGGCAGATAAGCACTCAACACGCCACTTAATGAGCCCAGAAGCCGAGAGGGAGCGAGAGAGTAAAAGAGAGCAGCAATTGAGGGAACAACAAAACAAAGTGGACTAGCCGAAAAGGAAACAATACACAAATCTATGCATACACATGTACTAATATATATTTACATACACACACACACACACACACAAGCAAAACTCAAAGTGTGAGCTACAAGTTCTTGTGAGAGAGAGAGAGAGTGCGTGAGAGCGTGTTGCTGTTGTTGTTGTTAACTGAGAGTGAGTATGAGTGTGAGTGTGTGAATCGGGGAGAACAAGTTTCGTTACGCTAGTGGAGTTTGAGCGCAAAGTGGCCGCAGACTGCAGTGACAGCAACAGCGCCGTCGACGTCAACGTCAACGTTTACGTTGGCGCTGTCAGCGACGCTGACGGCCGTTCACTTAACGCATGCGGCCGGCGTTGTTGTTGGGTCAGTTAACGAAACGTCGGCGCGTAAGTTGGTTGCGTTTTTTGTAGAAGCGGCGCGCGCAGAACGCGATCAGCCGGCATTTGCCAAACGACAGATACATTTCGCAAAGCGCGAGATACATGCAAATTGTCTAAATAAAAAAATAAAAAAATAAAAAAAAATATATATATATATATAAAAAAGTGCAGCGAGGAGCCAACGCAATAAGTAACCAAAGCAAAAAGAAAAGAAATAAATAATGAAAACAAAGTGATTTGTGTGCTCCGTGTCGTGTTCTCAAAGCATGCAGCGCAGAGCATTGCTTCCCAAGAAGTGAAACACAAAACCCGAAAACAGTCCCAGAAATAACAAAAAAAAAAAAAAAAATAAAATAAAATAAATGAAATAAAATAAATTAAATTAAATAAAACACTGTTGTACAACAAACGAAAGTAACAAGAGTAATAAGGTCGCATTTATAACAATAATTTTTGTCAACGTCGGCGACGCGTCGGCAGCATGGCAGAAATTTGTGTGATAAAAGAAATGAAATTCTTTGTAACAGTCACGTTTTAAATTGTGCGCCCTTTTTTACAAAAAAAAAAAAAAAAAAAAAAAAAAAAAAAAGGAAAAGAAAAAGGAAAAACAAAATAATAATAAGCAGAGAAGAGTTTTCCTGTTTTTATTTGCATTTCATGCGCGGTGAATTTTGTTTAAGTTGTGCGCGCATTCGATCTTTTATCTAGAATCTAGACTCAAATTACTCACCTATATTTATAATGTTGTTGTTGTTGTTGTTGTGTGGTTGGGAAAACGTATTGCAACGGCGTTAAGCTCAAATTTGTGCTGCATGCGCTGAAATTAATTCGATTTCTTGTTTTGTTTTTGTCATTTTAAAAATAAAATCGAGACAGCTTAACAGAAAAAAAAAAAAAAAACAAAAAACAAAAAACAATATATATTTACGTTGATTGCAAGTTAATATTGTATAAAAAAAAAAAAACAAGCTGCTTACACCTGCAAAATCACTTCGTATGGGAAAAGCTAAGTGAACTGCATATATTTGGCTTGTTGTTGTTTATGGCTAATACCGAGGAGCGCTTTGGCTTAAATAATAATACAGTTAGTTCCTGTCGAGGATTACTTCTTATCGACAAGTCGACTTCAGTTTACAGTTAAAGTGATAATGCAATTTACATGTGACTTACGGCACATACTTCGCTGCATATGAGACGCGATAAGTCAGATAATATAGATGTATATATAGATGTATAGGTGTGTATATTTTGTATACATGTGTATATTTTGATTCAAGTAATGCTGAGTGTATAAACAGGTAGCTCACATTTCATGTCTTCGCTCTGTGGACACCCTTCCTGTAACTGGGTACGACCACACTTTTCATATCCCACGCTACACGCCCGAATGCGAATCGCTCGACGGCAGCCAGCGAAGGTCGTTTATTATTATTATTATTATTTTCTTTGCATTTTATTGCATCTCTGGCACAAAGGGGAGCACTGACGCTCCGTCGCACAGGACTCGCTTGCAGTGTATTTGTTAAAGCTGTCGCTTTATTTGCTTGTTGCCCTGTCAGCAGCAGAGCCGACTGAGATTGAGGAACCCAGGGTCAGAGACAGAGACAGAGACAGTCTCAGTCGCAGTCTCACTCAGAGTCTTCCTCTCACTCACAAGTTGGGTGCCTTATGTTTGTCATATGTTCCAGAGCTTCAGCTGGGGCACAAGCAACTCCAGTGCCCAGCGTCTTTTATACACTGTCATGTGCTTATTCTCACTTGTCTGCGCATCTCAACTGGGTTTACATTGTCGCACATCTTCATCAGCATCTGCATGTCTCATGTGTGTTTGTGTGTGTGCGATTCTTTATCTCTCACAGTTCTTAGTCATTGTTAAAGCAGCAGCTGCTGCTTCTGCTGCTGAGTTATCTCATTGTGCGCACATTCCAGCCGTGTCTCAGTCGAGGACGATCTCTCATATTAGGCGTGGGCGCAGCAATCCTGACGGTCTTTGTTGTTCATTCGGTTAATTAGGACGGGATGACTCAATCTCAATGTCAATCCCAATCCCAATCTCAATCTCAATCTCGTTGGCAAGGCGCCAGCTCAAGGTCTTTCATGGAGTCTGGAATCTTAACTCACAATTTCACTGTGAATGTCCCAAGCTCGAAGTGCGGCTGGCATGAATAATATTCAATGTAAATTCAATTGTCAGCTGCGGCTTGCATAATCTTAAAATACATTCATGCATTTGTTTTTAATTAGCCATATGTTTCTGTCACAATTCTTGTTTTGATTCTTATTGTTTTCTTTTTGATTATTTTTTTTTGTATTTTGCAGACGAGTTCAGTCTCAGTTGTAGCTCAAATTCTTATTACCGACACGCTCAAAGTACGTTTACACTTTTTATTTACCTTGTCTTACTTTCATTTTTGTTATTATTAACCCCCCCCCAGAGAGACCCATAAATCTCATGGCATATTTGGGGCCTCTCTCTCAATAATATTCATTTGTTGTACATAATAATAACACGCACAACATAAAACACATCGTGTGAAGCCAAAGTCGGGAACATAAATTTGTCGCTTTTATCTAACAGTCGAATGAAAACAATTGTCGTTTCGATCTCGTTTTTTTCTTTCTTCTCTCTCTTTCTGTTTTTTGTTTACGATGCCGCCCAGTATTCATGATGGCGTTGAAAAGTGCCATAAGGCACATAATTAATGCCACAGAAGGCTGCTGCAAATTCACAATGAAGCTGCGTCTGGCATTTAATGGCGAGCTGCGATGATGATGAGGCCGTTTTCCTATAGCGCCCATATTTATTGACGGAGGGGGGTGGGCAGACACATATGCTTTGCAGCTTCACAAATTTATGGGTTGCGGTAGGGATTTGAACCCCACAGCAACTTTGACCCACTTCGAATGGCTGGCTGGGCCGATAAGCGCCACATTGAGCGCAATTAGGCGCAATAGCTCACACACTCACAGACCCAAAGCCAGCTGTAGATGTACTCATGCATATACGTAAATTAAACATTTTTTGACAAACTCAGCGAACATCTTTCCAATTGGAATGCTCAATTGAGGGCACAAATGTTAATTGAAACACAAATATTTTGATTTCTTGACGAATCTTGAATTGAAATGTTTGACACAAGAAGTTAAATAATTTTGATTGCCTTTAAAAAGTGTTTGCGAAAGATTTTGTGGCATAAGAAAAATATTTCTTTGAGTAAGTAGAGACAGCTGATGTCTACTTGAGACAGAATGAAGTGCATACTCTTATTCAGCAGCTGCTGCTGTTTTCATATGTATTTTATATATATAAATATGTGCATGTTTAAATAAAAACATGCCTTGTTCTCGTACAAAGAGGTGTCTTCAATAATACATATTTACTTACATACATTTATATAAATAATATACGAATATAAGTATGTATAACACCCTAGCACCTCCAACTCTTGTGCCTCTTGATTGATTGTATATACTTACATACATTTATGGAAATAATGTAGTATATATATGCATACATATGTAAATTATTTTGAATTTCCAAAATAGTTTACATTCTTGGTTGATTTTATTTATATTTTATAAATTTTTTAATTTAGCATTCTTTAAATTTTTGAGCTACAAAATGATTAATATAAATTTATATCTTTGTATTTCTTATATTTAAAAAAGAAAAAAAATTATATATATATACATACATTCATAACTGTCTGTAAATATCATAAAAAGTGTAAACAAACACCAACCATGTGCGGCATATGCTGTCTCTCTTTCTTTCTCTCTCACTCACTATCTCCCCCTCCCTCTCCATCTCTCAGTCTTTGAGCCACTTCAAGCTTGTTGTGTGCATTTTGTGGGCTCGTTTGCTTTTCGACTGGCCTTAATTTGAGACACGGCTTATTTATTAGTCGATTCGTCGCTTCTTTGTCTGCAAAAGTTGTGTGCGAAACATGGATTTGGTTCGCTTGAACACAGCTGCAACATGATGTCATCCACATGAATTCTAGGGAATTTGCTTACATTTAATTGCGTAAGAGCTTAAAATGTTCCAAAGGGACTTAAAGTATATATGTATATGATTCAATCTACTCAAGAAATCCAAATTCCATTAGAACTTACTTAAGCCGAAGCATGTCAGCATATAGAAGTTGGTTCATAGAAAAGTTAATTTAAAGTCGTTGGACAGAAGAGAAGAAACTGCATAATCAAGATCATCTTAAAAAAGTATATAATAATGCATAATAGAGAATGATAATGGTAATAATATGGACTAGAATAATTTAGTATTGCACCAAGCTAATTGTGCTCTATTACTAAATCTATTTAATGTCTAATAAATTTCTTTATCAAATCTAGTTTTTCGCTAGCTTTTCAGTTGGCGAAAACACAAATTTTACTTGCTTGCCAAGAGCATCGCATATCGACGCTTGTCCACATTGGATTTGCCAAATTTGGTTTTCTAATAATCACAGAAATTCGCGCTGTTGATTTAGCTGCTTGGCAGCTGTTGAATCTGAATCTGCATGTTGCATGCTGTTGCTGCTGACTGTTGCTCTCTGCGGCTCTCTAGATTGCAGCTAAAAGCTGGAAATTATTTATGCTAATTGCACTTAATTTATGCATGCTGCACATGCGTTTGTGTGTGAGTGTGTGTGTGAGTGTTGAGGGAGAACTCTAAGGGAAATGCAAAGACAAGGCAAACACAACTTTGTTGTTGTTGAAGTTCTTTATGTCGTTTTTGTTGCACATACAATTGATATTTATTAGTACACTAAGAGCCCTCGCTGTGGAGTGCGGGCAGTCGATAGCAGAGGGGCCGATGGTGGGCGGGTGGAGGAGGAAGGTCTGGCAATTTTCGCGTGCCTCAAATGTTCAATTATCGCCGCAATTGCCGCCGTTCCGCACCCACGCGACTGCAACAGTCCCCCGCCCGCCCACATCTCTGAGTGACATTTGCATGGCAATGGACGGAGGATAAATATATATGTGTATGTGTATATATATGTATGTGTGTGCGTGTGTGTGTGCGTTTCTATGCGACATGCAGACGCCAAGTGCCATTTAAGGCTTTACACATGTGGCAATCCGACGCCTTCTATGGAATTTATACAAATGTCAGCCAAATGTCGCGACTTGAAATCGGACTTTGTCGTGGCGCCTAATCCTGCTGGCATTATTTCGCGGTGCCCATTTCGGCCAATTAATATGCGGTTAATGGTGTTAACTGCTTGACGTGGTTATTTATAGGCCCGAAAGATGCAACTGCAACTCAATTGCATGCCAGTGCAATGTGAGACAGATAGACCGACAGAGCAGGCGAGTAGGAGAGCAGATAGCAGGCTGAGCCAGAGGCAGGGGCAGGCAGGGGCACTCGGTCGATGGCGTCGTGCATTTTGCATGCCAAGTGATGGAAAATGTATGCGATGAATTGCATAAGATGGCACAACTAACAGCAACTCTTACTTGTATCTTGGCTGGGCCCAAAGCCGAAGACAAATATCTGCTATCTGGGCACGTTGTGGTTGTTGTTGTTGCTGTTGCTGTTGTTGTTGCTGTTGCTGTTGTTGTTGCTGTTGCTGTTGTTGCTGTTGTTGGGTGTGGTGGTTTCAGTGGCACTGGCAGTGGCACATTTCAAGCATCTGCAGACGGCGAGTGCATGAAATGTATCCTTGGATAGAAATGCAAATGCGAAATAGAAAAAAATAATGTGGAATAACAAGCATCTACTGGTGTGAATAAATAACTTATCGAAATAAATGGCAGCTGAGCGTGTCAGATAAGTGAATCAAGTTGCGATAGAGCAAGTGTCCATGGATGCTGCCGAACAGCTTGCCAAAGACTACTATGTACAAGCATATATAGCATAGAAGGGAAAATAAAATATAAAATATGAAATATAAAATACAAAACATAAAATGCAAAATATGAAAAATATAAAATATAAAATATGAAATATAAAATATAAAATATAAAATATAAAATATGAAATATAAAATATAAAATATAAAATATAAAATATAAAATATAAAATATAAAATATAAAATATAAAATATAAAATATAAAAAATAAAATATAAAATATAAAATATGAAATATAAAATATAAAATATAAAATATAAAATATAAAATATGAAATATAAAATACAAAACATAAAATGCAAAATATGAAATATAAAATATAAAATATGAAATATGAAATATGAAATATTAAATATAAAACATAAAATATAAAATATAAAACATGAAATATAAAATATAAAACATAAAATACAAAATATAAAATATATATTAAATATACAATATAAAATAAAAATTATAAGATATAAAATATGAAACATTTAGCTTATATTAAATATAATTAGAAACTATTGCAAATTATTTGAAGCAAGTGAAAGATTCGAAACAAAAGAAATTAACAATTAAAGGAAATGAATGCATGAAGTAAAATTCCAGACTAAAATGGTATATTACTGTATTATAAAATATTTCAAGATGGCAAGAGAATATGACAGAATCAGTTATATGCTTATAGCATATGAGGTATTGAAACCGTTAAATGATTATAGCTCGTAAGATATGGAATCAGTTATATGATTATAGCATAACTGACTCTATAGTTAAATGATATAGAGGCTATATCTATAATAGAACTGCAATCCAGTCGATTTTGCTTGAGAATACTTTGAGCTACGAGCAGCTGCTGCGTGCGTACAAAAAGATAGCCAGACGGGCAGATATGTCTCAAAACTGATCAAGAATATGCTATATAAAATATAAGTCCGTGACGAAATGTACAAAAAACTCCATGATTGGCACATAGACTATCTTCAGCGTGAAGTTGGAAACTTTCGCACATATAATTTATAGAGTATCTATCTAGCATTTCGAGTGAACTTTTATTGATACGGCACTGTCGCATATCAGAGCATATTTAGCTCTCCATAAATGGCATATGCGATTTGTGTGCGTGGTGCATAAACCACATAGTTGCATGCATACAAATGCATGGCTCGAAGCTCGCCAAGTGTGGGCCAAGCACGTAGCACGGCTAAGGCCCGCTGATCGGCGCTTAGGCCAGGTTGGCAGCTGCAGCCGAGTGATAAGCGGCCAAAAGCAGCTTGACAATAGCTGTACGCTTATTTCCGCACGCTCCCAGCGCTCGAGCCTAATCAATTAAGAGCTGCCTGAGTAATTGCAGCATGTTTATCAGGCAGCGAGCAGTGGAGACAGTGCTGAAGCATCTCAATCATTTCAATTGAACAATTATGTTGTGTGCCAGAGTTGCACTCAATTAAACTGAAACCTTTATCTCAATTGTGATTAGCAGCGGAGAACGCCCCCTCGCCCCCTCACCCCCTCGACCGCCTCTCATG